TTTTTAATTAATATTATTAATTTTTAAATTTAAATATTAATATTTAATAAGATAAATTTTTAAATTTTAAATTAAATTTTAATTAAATAAAATAACGTATTTTAATATTAAAATTTTAATTTATTTTAAGAGTTATAACTAATTGATATATATATATGTATATATATATATATGAGATTAATATATATCAATCCAACTTTAAAAAAGAAATTAGAGTCTCAACCAATATTTAAAAATCAAAATATCAATTCAAAATTTATAAATTCATCATATTAAATATTAATATTTAAATTTAAAAATTAATATTTAATAAGATAAATTTTTAAATTTTAAATTAAATCTTAATTAAAAAATAAAATAATTTAAAATTAAAATTTTAATTTATTTTGATGATTACAACTGATATGTGCGTTTCGCTATGTGTGTACATATAAATTCTTGGGAGGGTGGGGGTGGGCCTAAGCAGCGTAACTAATCCGAGGCCCCATCCATGGAGAAAATTAGTTTTGCCGATCTGGGCCTCTATGTTTGAGCTGAGCCTTAAGATGCTGAATTGCTTTGCATGCTTGGGGGAGCCCATACAAAAAAAGCCCAGAATAAGCCTAACTAATCCGAGGCCCCATCCATGGAGAAAATTGGAGGCATTTGGGTCTCATAAATTAACAATACCCCTAGTTAAGCGTTTTGCCCCATAATTAAATCCAGGGCTTCAACTTCTCCCCCGATTCTCTCACCCCTAATAATTCTCATTAATTTCCAAAATTTAACCTGGCATCCACATTTTTATATACCCCAACCTTCCATATTTGTAAACTCTATTAAAATTTCATATATATATTTTTTTGTAATAACTAAATTTGACCAAAAAATATTATCTTTGTATTAATAAGAATTTAGTTGAATTGGTACTTATTAATTTAAAAAAATTTAATTTAAGGTTAAAATTAGAGTTTCAAATCTCTATAATATCAAACAATTAATTTTTTGATGTATATATATATATATCACATATGCATTAGCTAATGCAACAATGATATAGTTTGTGGGGATATATATGATATACAATTTAATTTCTCTAAATTTTCAATTTTGCAAATTATTTACAGAAAATGATTAATCAATGAATTAATTAAGGACGGCCAAAAACAAAATTAATTATGGGTTAAAGAAACCATCCCACTAATCTCTCCTTTACCGTTGTCCGATCGAGAGAGGAAGCTCAGCAGTTACAGCTACGAGATATCCTCAGCCGTTGGATCAATCACCTCATCAAACCATGTGGCTTATTACAAGCCTTGCTCTAAGCTGAGTTTCCTCTTCCTTCCATATCTAGCTCCTGTTATCAGGTTCTCTAGCTTTTCCTACTAGAGGAACATAAAGCCTCGCTAACTTTCACCCCCACAATTTTCAAGGGTCTTGTTATGGGTGGAGGGGGTGGTTATGGAAGTTTAGTTCACAAATCTTTTCTATGTAAACCAACTCCACCTTTATCCGCCATAGACAGGTTCCTGTGGGGTTCAAACCACACCCCAACCCAACACCAGTCACATGAAAATGCCGAGCCTAAAGAGACTACGTTTGGGTTGTGTGGTTTGTCTTCCATCAATAGTGGTGCAATTATTGGCTGCTATGGAACTGGGGTTCCATGGCTGAGTAACGAAGAGACACCTGAGATTATAAACCCTAACATGAATATTGTTAAGGTTGTAGAGAAGAGTGATAAAGCAACCAAGAGATGTAAGAAAATTTCTCGTCCGGTGACTTTGATCAAGGGTCAATGGACGGATGAAGAAGACAGGTGCATTCTCACACATATATGACCAATTTATTTGTTCTTTCTTGGATATATCTATTTATTCTAATTATAATTTTTTTTCTGGATTATTTTGAATATTGTACATAAAGAAAATTGGTAAGATTGGTGAAGCAATATGGAGTGAGAAAATGGGCGCAGATAGCTGAGAAGATGGTAGGAAGAGCAGGAAAACAGTGTCGCGAGCGGTGGCATAATCACTTGCGTCCTGATATCAAGGTCAAGGATTCTCTTTAATTTCCTTAATCTTAATTTTCTCAGTAAACATATATTTTTTGGGCTTTTATCAACCATATATGGTCATTCGTAGATTTAGTACTTTTGACAATGATCTATACATCTAGCTTCTTGGATCTAAATAAGATTCTAAATTTCTAATTAAGATTTTGAGAGTAAATTTAATCATAAAAATTCTAAGTTTGCCTTACCCCAAAAAATCTATTCCACAGATATAAAAAGCTTTAGACCTAATTAAGCAGAATGATCAATATATATTTTTTATTTAGTTAGTTTTTTTTTTTTTAGCAAACCTCACTATAGTAATGGATGGTGGCAAGTCACTAATCAAGTAAAAAGAATATATTATTATCTTTAAAAATTATTTTGACATGATTATCAAGTCACTAATCTATTGAAATGTTAATTGCAAGTATTGTCATATGATTTAAATTATCTTTTTCTAATGTTTCTTCATTTTTTTGTTGAAATAAAACCCAACATATATCCAATTTCCCCAACTTTAAAGGTTGTTTGTATTTTTCCTCTTCTTTTTTCCCACTTAATAATATAATATATTTTGTCCATCCTTTATGAATAGAAAGTCAATTAAGAATTATCTTACAATCAATTATAATAAAAAAAATAATATAATATACTCCTACATATGTTGAATTGAGATGTTTATTCATTCATTTTAATTCATGGTGTCTTGTTACAGAAGGATACCTGGAGCGAAGAAGAGGAGAGGACATTAGTGGAAGCTCACTTAAAGGTTGGCAACCGTTGGGCGGAGATCGCTAAACACATCCCTGGAAGAACTGAAAATTCCATAAAGAATCATTGGAATGCCACAAAGAGGAGGCAGAACTCTAGGAGAAAAAACAAGGAACAAAACCAAAATGGAAAGCTTCAATCTTCCATCCTACAAGACTACATCAGAAGCCAGAGCAACTCCTCCACAGGCGCCGCTACAACCGCCAACAGCTCCTCCACAGCTGCTGCACCCACCCCTTCTACTTCCACCTTCTCTGATGACTCTCATCCTTTGATTGCTCAAACGTCCCATGATGAAGAATTGCTTTTCATGCAAAACTTCTTCGGGAATGAAAAAGTGTTGTCCCTTGATATGAGCTCCAGCTCCAAAACAACTACATCCGGAGGAGAATCCTTCAGTTATGTCGATTCTCAAGTCAACAATCATCCATCTTTGGATTGTCAATTTGTTCATCATTACTCGAAGGACATGCTTGATTTTGGGTCTTTCTCTGCTTCCTCAGAGAGTACTACTACTAATTGTGTTCAAGCAGAGGAGAAGACTCACAGTGCTGCTCCCCTATACTCTGACCTTTACCTTTCTTATCTGTTGAATGGAGTAATCGACACACCTCGTTTGTATCCCATTAGCAGCCATGGCTATGATGATGAGACGAATTTAGACTTGGTTGCGGATCAAGATTACTTGAATCAAAGGAGGGAGATGGACTTAATGGAGATGGTTTCTTCGTCTCAATTCTCTCTGGGTAGCTTCTAAGTTCTAATGATTTTATCCCAGTTCTACCGTTACGCAGAAATGGGATTTTCTGTTTGGATAGTAGGAAAGTTGGTACTTTGTGAACAAAACGGTCCTTGTTCTCTGTTTGTTAGCTAAAATGCATTCATTTTCATTTGCTAGTTTGTGTTTTGTTCGTTGACCTATATGCTTCCTTGCTTTGTTTTACGTGCGATGCTTTCTCAACTGGACATTGGAAGGAAGAAAGCTTGGCATCATTCTCTTGATGCCGATGCGGAGTTACTGTTGAGTTCCAATGTCTAAGAGTTGTTTTGTGTGTCATGTCTTGGGATTAATGGGAGAAATTTTAATCTTGAGTATACCAAACCTTTGCGTCTCATGCTGAATTAAGTGTCATATCACATCTCCAATGACATCCCGACCCATTGACACCTCAACATAGTATCTTACCATAAGATGTAAAAATTTTTGAGATAACATTTTTTTATTAATTGGCATACAACAGAATTTGTTAGATAAAAGATCGATGCAAGCCAAAATGATTTTTTTGTCCACTCTTGCCATAGAAAATGGTTTTCCTGGCTGAAATACTTGTCATTCAATCACCTTTAATTCTATTAATTGAATTTAATGATTGAAACAGGAATTCTAAATTTGAAAACTAGTCGGAATCAGTTACAAATCCTTCATTCTTAATAATGGCTTCCTTTCAATCAATGGGGGAAAAAGAAAGGGCTTTCTATATGGTCCCAAGAAAAAAAAGAAAAACGGCTTCCAACGATTTAATACTCAAACTGAAAAGGAGGGGAAGTATGGATTAAATTTCATTTTCATGACTAAAGTAAACAAATTCAATGTAGCTGCTCATACATCTGCGTTTCATTTTATATATTAGAAAAAATCAAGGTTATTGGTACTATACCGTACTGGTTGGTATGATCAGTAAGTATCGGTTTTCACATTAAATCAAAATAATATATGATCCAATTTCATTTCGATTAAATTTAACTCATTTTTATCAAATTTCACCTGTTTCAGTCAAGTTTCAGTGTACCGACTGATATTTCAATGTACCGATCGGTATACCTTGGCACAATTCAATTCAAATTTAAAAAAGATAAATTTCATTTTTGGTCCTCAACTTTAATGTTTACATAATTTTTATCCTTTAAACTTTTTATATATTTTTTTAATCCATTCTTCATTTTTTTTAGTTCTTTTATCAATTATTTCGTTAAGTTTGTCTAAATACATATATTTTTAATCCCTTAATTTAAAATGGATGGACGAAAAATATGCATATATTATAAATTGACAAATTAAAAATGATCGTTTTAAACTTGTTTTCAATTTATAAGAATATAATGGTTTTAAACATTAGTATTTTTTATTTTATTTTAAATTTTGATATTTAATTTATAAAAATATATATTTATAGCGATAAATCTGAAATAGTACACGAAAAATTTCAATATTCGATAAGTACCATTCTAGTAACAAAACTGATATGCATACAAGTACAGTATTGATAACTTTGGAAAAAATATATGATGATGCAGATTTAAATTTTTTTTTTAAATAAGAATAATTAAGGAATAAAAATAACAATTCTCGTCTGTTCATTTTCAGCAAATGCAACTTATGCATTCGACCTCATGGTTCAAAGACTGGTATAGTAATATGTTGACAATCAAAATCTGTTCTCTCAGAAACTGTAAAGCCTTCTCAATTTTTTCTGAATTTCTCTGGGAAAGCTTCTGCTTCTTTGAAGTCTAAGAGCTGATGTGAGTTAAAACAAGATATCATTGGACAAGAGACCATCCGACCTCCAGTCATGTATGTTTAGTTGATTTCATTTCGTACAAAGTCAAATTCTGGAATCATGATGACATTTTGGCTCTTGCAAAGAGAATTCCTGCAAATAAACCTGGCAAACCATATGGTGGTTAGTATAAGAGAAAAATAAAAACTACATTCTTGATGAGCATTCAATATGTTGTAGAGTTGATTCTTTTCATTACCAAATGTTATGCTGAACATATTTGTTAGACTGAGTGGAACATTGAAGAGAACCAGACCGGCAACTGAAATTGGAATCTTGTTCAAGGAACCTACCAGGCTACGAAACAATTATACAACTTCAGTGATAGTTTAACGTATCAAAAGCAGTCATAAATCAAAAACTAGTTATACATATAGATCAGTGCAGCAAGCCAATAAAGAAACCATGAGAATGAGACTGAGCTCATCTTAATTGTGTAGCATAAAGCAATCAGTAAAACCTTATATTTTTTCCTTTTCCTCCTCTTCTGTAATCACAAGCAAGACTCTTTGACAGATAACAGAGGCGGCATGTAAATTTGTTAACCATGCAGAAAAACAAATACCTATAAGTGGTTGGCCCGGTTTGATGCAAAAACCAAATAGAGGTGAAGCTAATGGCAAGTCCAAGCAAGCCACTAGCTGTCGCAACAACCCAAAACATTGGCAATTGAATTACATCGCTGCATATTACAACTGCAAACGTTAGAATATTAAAAGGGTACTTGCATGATGGGAAAAGCAGATGATTTTAACAAAGTTAAAATTTTAAGATGTTCACTTACACATTTATTACGTATTTCCATTCATCAAAAAGGAATATCAAGAATATAGCAAAAGGGAGAGATAACAAGTTATTCAGCAAGACCATGGAGACTTCATTGAGTGATCCTGATCTTGTCAACTGCTTTGCTTTGTCCATAACATGCCGCAAGGCAAGCTGATACAAATTAAAAACATCTCATACTTTTGGAGAACTTTGATAGAGAGATTGGCAACAGGAACAATGGTTCCCGAAGTCCAAGGTGAAAATTACAGACACTAATGTCAGTGCCACGGATTGACTAACATATCTCTAGAGCATACCGAGTAGCTTGCAGTTAAGACACAATTTATAATCTGCCAAGCATAACCCACTGGATCAAATTGGAGATCTGTGATACCGCCACTAACAGCAGAGATAATCTGCAGCAAACAATGACACACAACTTTACTAATAATTGACTTAATTAAAAGTTGTCAAAAAGGAAAAATTAAGATCGTAATCATAATTCCTGCATAGAATAAGAGCTAAAATTATTTGCCTTTGAAAACTCAATGTAATGAAAGTTACATATCTGAGTTGTTTATGTTGAAATCAATGACTTCTACGTTTTTCCCTACTCAAATTAATGTGTAGTAGCGTCACTAATATATAGTTCAACTTGTCAATTTTCCTTTATGAGACTTCAAGATTCCAAGAACAGGATTAGTACTCAAATTAAATTTACTGGAATAAGACAAACCAATATGCCAGAGATACACACATGTAGAACGAAGGACACCTAAGAGTAAAATTTACCATCATAAACATGGCAATCCACACTTTCTGGTTCTGACGTTTCCGGAAAACATATAATTCTCCAATTGCTGTTATGATATTTGTCACATTCTTTAAAATTGTCACCATTGCAATATTTATGAATTTCAAACTGAAAACACAAATACACAGTTGCCTGTGGTTAGAATTGTTATCTCTTCAATTTGGTCTAACCAACTGGCTTAAAAGATAAGGGCATTTTAATATAGACATAGCTCATAACATACCTATACATGCCTGACACAAGCATGCCCACAAAGATTACATTAACAGGGATCCAGACCTTAATCAACTTCCAATTAAGCCTTTCCACTGTAACAGCTCTGAAGAGACTCAGTATGGCAACAACTAGACAAGCAATCAGATTCTGCAAAGAAAATACAAGGAACAGAACTTAATCCAGGCTTTCCAGATAATTAAATATTAATTAAAAAAGAATTCATTTTTCTGCTTCAGGGCCTAGAAAAAAAAAAAAAAAGAAAAGAAATATTTCCCAAATGAATATCCTACTTGATAAAACATCAATGATATTCCTGCATTGAAATTATAACCGGAGAGAACAACTTTGTTCAGCAATATCATGCTGCAAGAAGAAATGCAGTAAGCTGTTCCAGACACAAGAGGTCCATGTCTTCCTGCAGATCCATGGTCACGCTTTTTATCCCCATCGGCTGGTAGGTTTACACTATCACCAGCTGCTGCTTTATTCCCTCTAAAAAACCTGCTCAAAAAAGGTAAGTTGATTTAGAGCACTATAGCTCTAACCACACAATTCTATGCATTCATATGAGTACTTTCATTTTTTTTTTTTTCGTTTTTTGATCGGCAAAATATTTTATTTCACGGGTACAAGGGGTACCCAATATGAGTGCTTTCAATTTGTTAAGATTACCTGTCAGTCAAGGTACCATGCTCAGCATTTGCCGCAAAATTGCTGTTTGTCCTGTTTCCTTGCTTGTTTAGAGCACTTAGAATCTCGAATACTCTGCCATCTCTTTCACCATTGGAAGAGCTTATATCTGATTCCTCCGGATTATGGCATACAATCTCATCTAACTTCATATTACACTATTTCAATAACCTATATAAAATGGAAAGGAAAACCCCAAATCAGTGTAAACATTTTTGACTCCCAAAATGCCATCTTTAATAAATTAAAAACTCAACGAAAACATGTTGACATAGAAACAAGAAAAATCAAACAAAAAGAGAGGAAATGATCCGGAATGAAAAACGGCTTACCCAACCCGATTGATCTTCCTCAATTCAATACCCTCCCACCGATTTAAACTGGTTCCAATCGGAGTGACTACTGACCCATCAATTATAACACCGATCCCCACGCCTCGGAAATGGAATGTGCTCCCTGATTCGAAATCAAGCAGAAGAACATGCAGAAGACGTGGGTTGAAGCTTTTTAGAGAACACGCAAAGGGGTTCCAACGAAACTTGAAGCTGAAACCATAGGAAGAAGTAACAGAGAACGCGATTCAAGGAGGGAGAAAGTTGAAGCCTTGAACTGGGACATGTCCCGAAGGTTCCAAAAGTCAAACGCTGTGCTGCCTTCGATATCGCCATTAAGTTAAGCAACAGAGTAACATGCATTTCAAAGACTTGGGTTTTCGCCGTTCGAATCGCTTATCCTGTTTCTCAATCTATTTTCACTTTCCAGAGCTGCTTCCCGCGAAAAATATGGCTGGCTTCATGGCGCAGCAATGGTGGTGGGTCGGGTCGGGTTAAGGAATCAATCGGAGTCATTTTACTATCTAACTAAAGGCAAAACCATTTGTTAAGCCCCTAAACTAATTCCAGATTCGCTATTGACCCCAAAACTTTAATTAATATATATAAACCCTTGAACTCCAAGATCTGAGCAATTTAGCCCTTATTCTTATGGTAGTTAAAGAATTAAGAGCTAAATTGTTCAGACCATAGAGTCCAGGGGCTTATATGCATCAATTTAAGTTTAGGGCTCAATGGCGAATCTGGGATTAGTTTAGGGGCTTAACATATAGTTTTGCCCTAACTAAATGGGTTTTCTTACCACACCCCCCCCCCAAAAAAAAAAACTATATGTGGGTTTTTAAATAGGCCCCATTTGGTCAGCCCAGGATTTTATTTTCATGTTTTGAGCCCAAATATAGATGCAGAATCCTGAGATGGGCCATCTTTTTTGTTTACATGTGATTATTGGATTAAGACCGAACGGTGCATTATTAATATTCGAGGACCCATTTGTGCAGTTAGACACCGAGTTTTCATGATGTTGATGGATGGGGTGTTATAATTGAAGCAATGGCACATTGGATCCCCATCGATGGTAGATTTTGAGGAAGAACAAAATCCTAAATTCCTTGAAAACTTCGCTCAGAAAAAAAGAAAAGAAAAAATCACAATTAAACTATTGTGTTAGGTTGTTAAACTGCTCTGTCATGCATGAATGATGCTAATTAATTTTTGGTGAATGTTAAGGGTGTTCCACCTAAATGAACAATAACTTTCGTTTTTTTTCTTTGGTTTCCTCCATCTCCCAAATTTCCTTTTATTAAAAGGGAAAAAAAAAAAAAAAAAACTCTAGTGGCTTTTTGGCTCTTTTAAAAAAAAAAAAAAAATTCTAAAAGATACTTCTACCTTTCCTTAAAGTTATTTTCCGACTTTTAAAGGATTATGAGTTGAAGCGACAAACTTGTAATAGTGTTTAGAATAAATGTTATGAAACATAATAAATTGTCGACCCTCCCGTTGTCTATAATACGAGGCACTTGATTGATGACCAAGACACCAAGCAAGACCCCAATGATGCTTCTAGTCTAGTGATAGAGAAATTTGAAGTTGAGGGGGCACAATCCTAAGATTGTAGATTCCAAGTTTTATGCATGTTAATTTCATTGTAAACAATTTTGATATGTTTTTGCAATTTTTTTTTTTATATATATTAGAAGATGAATTATAAGATAATTTTTTTTCTCAAACTTCTCATCACCTTTATTAACATTAAAACTCAAAATCTTAAATACAAAAGCTCAAATTCTTAACAATAAAATTAACCACTTTTAGTTTGTGTTGTATTTGAACATAGCGAGCAATGATTGTAGTACCTCGCTTGGCATAAAAATAAAGGGTTTTAACTTGTGGATTTAAGTTTAGTTAAATGAAAAGTGATACCAATTTTATTAATTATTTAATTAAATTTATTTACGTGATAATAATATTAAAATTAATATTAATTTTTATATTTTTATATAAATTTGTGATAATAAAATGTATTTAATTTATATTTTAAGAGTATAAATTAAAAAAACTTAAAAAGAAAAATGAAAAACAAGAAAAAAAAAAAGCTTTGTAATAATTAAAAATTTTCAAAATTATACCCATTTGTATGTTTTTTTACTTCTTCAATAATCAAATCATAGTTGACAGAACGATGAATCCAAAATACAATCGTTCAATATTGCTCAAAATACATGGAACACAAATTTCATATCTAGAATTCAAGATACATATAGAAAATATCTGAAAACTCACACTTACAAAACTACCACTTTCATCTCATCCAAAAGCAGCATTAATTTACATCACATATATACATCTTATAATTAACGCTACGAGAAGTTACACATGATATCACAAACATCATGCTACCCTCTATCACATACCATTAATAGTAAGTAATAAACAACATTATTATAAGTTAAGTAGTAAATTATAATTCTGATCAAACAGGAAGAAACATGAACTGTTTAATTTTGGACATATCTTCCGACCGCATTAATCGGCTTATGTCTCGGACATGAAAGCTCGACCTTTTTGGTCACATGCTTGAGAGTTAATTAAACCCATCTATAGATACAAACAACCATCATCACCCCCACACATCACAAAATTTTCAAAACCCTACTCCCCTTTTTTGGGTAATGACATGACCCTAGAGCTGAAATTAGAACCAAAAGGCAAAATTAAGAAGATTACTTACATTACATACCTATGATGTCTCTTATATCTTATAAGTTTTATGATAATCACTCTCACACGGAGTACACAATCACAAAGCAAGGAAGCACAGCCCTTGGATTGAAAACCAATAGCTCCTCCTCGTCGATCCTGGTGTGGGCCCCACTTCCACCCCTTCCGATCACCGAGTCAAACCCGCCTCCGTCCTCCTTGTCCACCTCCTCCGACTCCGTCCCTACCCTTCCCGCCACCACTCTGCAAACCAGCATGGCCCTTTTCACGTTCATGAAGCGGAACTCCTCCTCAACTTCGTCGGGAACCGTCACGTGCGCTCTCCAGCTGCTCGACAGGGTCGGAATTCCGTCCAGTTTTGGCGAAAATCCCGACTTTATGATCCCACATATGCTGCAGTACTGTTGGCTGCAAATACTCGAATTTCCGTTTAGACCCAAATCGCACATGAAAGTCGAGCAGTAAAATCTCAAGAGCTCGTTCCCATCGGCGATGCACCTCTCATCTCTTCTCCTGGCGACACCGCTGCTTTGCGCTGCCTTGGCTTTGACGAATTCCCTGTATTCCTCAAATCTCGCCAGAATTTTAGGACAATTATGAATCTTCAGAATCCGGTAGATTTCCGGGCTCTTCTCTGTATCCGTCCACCCTGTTTTGAATATGATCCGGACTATGTTTTTCCCCGATTCGCCATCAATGAGCTCCGATATGGCGTGTTTGGTTGCTTGATGCTGTTCTAGAAATTGGGGTTTCTGGAAAATCTCGCCGCAAGCAGTACAGGGGAAGATATCGTTCCGAAGAGGGAAAAATGGGTTTTCAACGGAGATATCCGATTCCGGAAAAGACCCAGGTGGTTTTTTATCATCGGCTAAATGGGTGTCGGATGGAATCATGGATACTAGCAACTGCTGGGAGTTTCTTGCGGAGGTCAGGGTGGGTGTTGCAAGGTGTGCGTCGGTGTTGGTTTTGCAGAGTTTAGAAGAAGAGAAAATGCGTTTGAGATAAGACCAAGAGGAGGAGAGGGCTTTGTGGGTTTTGATACGAGAAGAGGAAGAAGACAGGTAAGAGATTTTTCTTTTCTTGCTCTGTGTCTGGTGATAGTCTCTGGCTGTGAAAACGAAACAACCCAGGTGAAGGAGTAGTAGGAAGAGAGAAAGGAACTTGCTGAAGAACGATCCAAGGATGGGTTTCGCCATTGATAGAGCTTGTGCTTGAGGTTGAGCTTGAACCCTAGTACTCTGTGTTTGCTCTGCTTTCAGTCCATGAAGGGGTCAAAATTGTTGCTTTGAGATGGTGAAAGAATGATGAAAGGAGAAAGTAAATGAAAGGAAGGATGTAAAGGGTGGGAGTGTGGGGGCAATTGGAAGAATAAAGTTAAAGAGTAGGTGTAAAGCAACTCCATTGCATACTAGCATCTATAATTTCTAGTCTAGACATGAGAAAATTGGACGTATAATTTATGTACCTCCACCTTTATTAATCCAAATCCTTGTGTAAATTTTATTATTATTATTATTATTTTTATGAGGAGATTACGAAGGAACGAAATTTGGGAAAATTAATGTAATTGAGATGCCCAAGTCGAGATGGGCACGTGAGCCCATACGTGTATATTGAGTGGCAACTCATTTTGTTGTGTAACTTGTGTTTGCACATCTAAAAATTTTTTTTCGAATAAATTTCAGTTTTTGAGAAATGAGAAAGGGGAATAGGGTTAAAAGCTTTCAAAATTTTAGTTGAGTAAGTAATAAGTAGTATAGCTATCACTCACTTTATAGGTTAAGTTCATTTGCATACTTAAAAATGAAAATAGAATTGGACCAGATTAGAAGCATAGTTTTAGGACGTGTTTGGTTAATTATGAACCTAAAAATAGTTCTAGGGGAAGCTGACAATTAAAAAGTTATCAGCTTGGTATGTGAAAAAAAAAAAAATTCCTAAGATAATGAAAAGGATTAAAAGATAAGTTAATATAATTAATTATATAAGCAACAAAGACAATTACATTAAATATATAATTGATTATAAAAGTAATTTAATTAATTATATATCTTAAAATTGTTTTAATAATTTTTTTAGATATACAATCAATTATATTTTGTTTGATTTATAATTTTTATTTCAAGACCAACCCAACTCACAATATTCCTTGAAAACTGTTTTTGATTTTATAACAAACCAAACATGCCCTTATTGTCATTGGTAGTGTCCAGCGAATCTTGATACTGTTTTTGAACCTTACTCGAAACAAATTATCTTGATTTGGATATTGCGTTGAAGTTTTCTCCATTTCGTTGATAAATTATTGACAATCCCAGATTGCTAGTGTTCTCTGTTTCAGAGTATGAGAATCCAAAGCTAAATTTTCTTTCACAGTTTCACTTGTTTTCATGTGCTATCCCTGTTTCAGACAATGACCTCTGTTTCGTTTACTTTTAACAATGACTGCAACAGGGTAACACATGATTTTGTCTCATACCCCATCTCCATTTCCTTAAAACCATTTACAAGTTGAAGCGAATTTACCATTTTTAGAACAGTTTCTCTCAGTTTATTGCAGTTGCTGACGGGAATAGTTTGAGCATCTTGAACCAGTTAATTTCTTCAATAAATTTTTGTTTCAAGCACTCAAAAGAGAAGCTGAAGGATTCATCTAGTCTTTTTATATCAGTGATTTTTATTATTGTTGCATATTAATGGACTCCCATAGTATCTGGAGTTATTTGGTTATTAAATTTTCCTATGCAAGTTAAATTATTTTATTTACAGTTTCCTGTTCAAGGACCTAATTGGTAGAACATAGCATGTGTTTTTTGGGGAGAAAATCATTTATCAGCTATATTTTAAAAAAATTTAAGGAAAAAAACACTTTAAAATTAAATTATTTTAATAAATTATCATTAAAAAAATTAAAATAACATATTTTCAAAACAATAATGAAATATTTTATTCTATTTCTTTTTTTTGTAATTTTTTATTGAAAAGATTTAATTTAAAATATTATTTTCTTAAATTTT